AATAAACTTGTAGTGCCCATGTGGAAGTACCTGATTAATAGGCCAGCAGCCACCCCCTTGGTTTTTTCAGTGACTCAGGATGAATCTACGTGAGTAGGTTGGGTTCGACGAGACGGTCAAGTTTTTCCTCTGTGAAAATTCTTGATAGAGGTAGCTAATGATCCGCGCACGTGATAACGTGGTTCGGTGGTCTGACCAGTGGTGTCCCCCACTTCGAATATCTCGAAGTAATGGGGTCATAATAGTTATTTATGTATTAAGGGCATAAAAGTGAGGTTTATATTCTCGTGGGCGATGAGTTAAAATTTAGAAAGCTCGAGGGCCGATAGATATCTCAGATATATAATGTGCTATGATATGTTAGTAAGACATAACATTTATTAATAATCAGATACAGCTTAGTAAATATTTGTTTAATAAAATGGTCATATTTCCTACAATTTTAGTGGGACGTTTTAACGCTATGGAGAATTTTCACAGATAAAAAACTTCGGCGTTTCGTCGAACCCAACCTATAAGATTCAGCTTGTTATTATTATTAATCACTGAAAAAACCAAGGGGGCGGCTGTTGTACTACAATAATCACTTTATGTTGTGCGGATGTTTTAGATATTATTTCACTCCTAGTCAAATTTAAGCACTCATGGTTCCATCTAGGACGAATTATTCTTAAAACTCCACAATAATATTTACTAATGCATAGCAAATTATCGTTTGATTTTAAGATCATTATTTTATTAAAATTAGTATTCGTATTCCACTCTCTTTACCGATTCTTCTGAAAAACAGAAACTACTCACCAGAGGTACCTCTTCCTTCACTAAACTCTGCCTATCTTCAAGTTTGAAACACGTAACTTGAATTGAGATTAATTTTTTACTATAAGTACTAGTAAGATATCAACGATAACATAGTGTTATACAACAAAATCAACGGTACAATGATCTGTAGTTATATATCTGCTTTTAAAAATTCATTCTGAAATGTAAATTAAGCAATTTATAATCCATCGACACCAATTTTTAGTAATGTTGTGGAATCTAAGTCGTGGTCTTTGGCAATATTTCGTATTAGTCGCACTCACAAGTATATTTTCTTCTTATTTTTATAACACGACCTATCTAATTATGTAATATTATAGGAGCAAGTAAGTTTCTGATTTCATCCTTTTTTCATTTCAGCAAGTGATTCATTATTAGTGTTACCTTTGGAGGTAACAAAAGCAGAAGATCTATTAAATGGAAATTAAGGATTTCTTCCCTTAGTATTTTCCTTACTTCATGTACCTATTGTCTTATTACTATACGAACTACTAGTGTTGCCAGTTAGGAACTGGTAAACACGGGCCCTTCCATCTGTTTAAACTTGAACTTGCACTTTTGATCTTTACATGGTGTGCCGTCGTGCGGACATACGTAATTTGGCTATTGTAATTACCCAAAGCAAAACACCTCAGCAGAGCTAATATAATAAAAACTAAATTTCAGCTTTTATTGTTCTAGGGAGCGGCATCTCTATATTAAATACATACTAAAGGCTCATGGGTGTACATGTTTGTACTTTTAGGTGGACAATGTGAAAAATCTGCTATATATTAATGATTATGATTTCATGGGCATCTCCGAGACTTGGTTAAGTAAAGATACGCCTCTTGGACTGCTTGGGATTGATGGGTACTCTTTCTTCCATATATCAAGAGCATCTAGAGGTGGAGGGGTTGGTATCTATGTCAAACAGGTATTTCAGTGTCAAGTTGTTAGTCATGAAGTGTGTGACGATATAGAACATCTGTGGGTACAAATTAAAATCAATAATAAGAAACTGTGCTTTGGTACTATCTATAGACCGAACGGTAGTTTTACTAATTTTTTATTAAAGTTTGAGGATTCCCTTGCACATTTTGTTCCAACTTATGATTTATTATTTTGTATGGGGGACTTCAACGTTGATGGGCTTACCTGATAACCATTACTATACCAGATTAGTCGATACCTTGAACTCATTTAATTTATTGCAAATTATTACTGAACCCACGCGAATTGTTCCTCACTCGTCTACATTAATTGATTTTATTATTGCTGGAGATGACGTTTCTGTAGCGAATAGTGGAGTTGTTCCAGTGCATGATATTGCTGATCACTCTCTTGTTTATTGTCATTTTATTCTTGATGTGATAGTTACACCAACCACTTTGATATATCGCAATTTCAACAAAATTGACCTACCCTCGTTTAATAATGATTTGTTTGCAATACCATGGTATCATATGTTTGATATTTCAAATTTAGACGATAAAATCGATTTTTTCAATAGTAATATGCTTTCTTTATTTGATAAGCATGCACCTATGTGCCCACATAAGGGTAAGTTTGGTGATCCCAAACCTTGGATTACGGAAAACGTTAAACGTATGATTCGTAACTCTGCTTTTAAACGCTTCAAACGAACTTCCAACGTTGCTCACTGGGACTATTACAAACAACTTAGAAATTTCACAACCACCGCAATTCGCAATGAAAAGAAATGCTACTTAACCCAAGTAGTAAAAAGCTGCAATGCTAAACAACTTTGGAAGAAACTGAATCAACTCCAATTATTGAGCAAGAAGAATAATTATATTCCTACAAATTTTGCAGATGCAGATGAAATTAATATGTATTTTTCTTCAACGCAACGCAGTTGCATACCTGATTTGGAACTCTTGGATTACTATAGCAGTAATAAATTTAACCCAAATAGTTGTTTCACTCTTTCCGAAGTTTTGGAGGAAGATATTACCAAAATATTATTTAAAGTGGCATCTAATGCTACTGGCGTGGACGGCATCAGTATAATTATGTTAAAACATTGTTGCCCTTTTCTAACTCCATATATAACTCATATTATAAACTATTGCATAAATCTTATTCCGTACCTTCTGTGTGGAAGTGTTCTCTTCTTAAACCTATTGCGAAAGTGGCATCACCTAGTGGTATATCCGACCTTCGTCCTATAAGTTACCTGCCCTCTCAAAATTACTGGAAAAAGTTATTGTTGCGCAGTTGACTGACTATATTAATCAACTTCATGTCCTCCCCGCTACGCAATCTGGATTTCGTGCTGGGTATGGTTGCCCTGGAGCACTTCTCGATATTGTTGATGATATATTAAAAGCTGTGGATCAAGGTAACTCTTTATTATTAGCGCTTCTTGACTATTCAAAGGCATTCGACACTGTGAATCATTCTCTGCTTGTGTCCATTTTAGGTTACCTAGGTCTTAACGCTGAAGCAGTTGCATTTTTTCGTAGCTATTTATGTAATAGAAAACAGATCGTGTGCATGGGAAATAATCAATCAAGTCCTGTTACAGTACAGTCGGGAGTGCCTCAGGGTTCCATACTCGGTCCCCTACTTTTTACGATTTACACCGCGTTTTTATATAAGGACATAAAGCATACCAAAGTCCATATTTTTGCAGATGATACTCAGATCTATATCTCATTCCCTAAAAGTGAATTTCAAAGCGCAGTAAACAATCTAAATCTGGACCTCCAACAATTGTCAACAAATTCTAATAAATATAATCTTACCTTAAACTCTAATAAATGTAAAGTTATGCTATTTGGGAGTAAGAGGAATAGACTACCGTTAATAAATCTCACTCGAGTATCCATGAACGGTACAATACTCCCACTTGTGGATAGTGCTAAAAATCTTGGGCTCATTATGGATTCAGATTTGCGATTTAAGTTGCATATCTCAAAATTAATGCAAAAATCATATTTTACGCTGAAATTGTTGTATTCTCATAGGCATTCATTAAATCAACATTTAAAAAAGTTGCTTTGCGATACTCTCATTTTATCGAATTTTAATTATTGTGATGTCGTCTACAGTTCAAATTTGGATTCCTGTGAAATAAGACGAATTCAAATCGTTCAAAACTCCTGTCTTAGGTTTATATTTGGCGTCAGAAGAAGGGAAGGAATTTCCCATTACATTAGTAAGGCAGGTTGGTTGAAAATGGAAGATCGAAGGAAGCTGCATTGCTACTGCACTTTTTATAAAATAGTTGTCAATAAATGCCCACAATTTCTAGTTAACAAAATACGGTTCAGAACTGACACTCATAATATTAATATACGAAGAAAGGATTTACTTATTACAATCCCTAAGCACAATCTTCAGTTATATAAAAGGTCCTTCTCTTATTTAATAGCTTTTTATCTAAACAAACTAAAAATTAACTTTTCATCTATGTCGCTAGCACAGTTCAAAACCTTAATTAAAAATAAGCTTTATTCTGGTGAAGTGTAATACCTATAATTAATGTACATTTGTACCATCTTACTCAATTGAAATCATTGACTTATAACTTTCTCTCCTTTTCACAATTTAATGGATGTAGGTAGATTTCCACGACTGAAGTATACCTCTCTATGGCGTATTGGGGCTGAGTGGTAGACCAGATGGTTAATATTTTTGACCAATCTGAATCTTAACCCCTTGGGGGAAACTGGAAGGACTAAGAAATTGTAATGATCATGTACCTGATGATGTATTCCATGTTAAACCCAATAAACGATTTATTATTATTATTATTATTATTATTTTTATGGCACTTCTAATTTCGGATTCACTTACTTCATAGTTCATACAGATATATGGAATTGGTAGCAGCAGTATCCGATTTTTCCATGGACGATACATCAGTATTAGATTTAGCAGAGTTGATAAAATAGTGGTTGAAAGCATTTGCAATGTCAACATTATGACTGCATAATTTACCATCGACTCATAGAGATGCTGCACTGTCAGCAGATCGATTCCTGACATTATTTTTTATAATATTCCATTTGATTTAGGGGAAAGCTGTAATGCCGACAATTTTTCACTGCTACTGGTGTTCGGACTTCGCAGCAGGATTCTGTAGTAAAACAAGATACGAGCGGAAAAAGGTTAAGACGTATATTTGACTGTAGGTAATACAGAATTTAAGGTATTTTAAAATAATTTAATGTGACGACTGCACTTAGCACCTCCCTCTGCTGATTATTGTGTCGAAGAACTCCTATAAAGAAACAATCGCGGTTTAAAAATGTAATTTTATTTCACATGTAAATAAAGTAAATAAATAAATACTGTACTACGTGGGCACATTGAGGAGATGAAGTAAGTGTCATTGTAATTAAAATAAGAGCAAGGAGAGCGAGTAACCGAATATTAAATGAGAAAAAGATTATGATAGCGCGGAGTTAAGTATTTATCACATCATCGTTGTAGGAGTGGGAAAGGAACATTCCGTAGTTGCTGCAAAATCGGCGCCAGTCGTTTTCATAAAGCGTGCGGTGCAATCTTAAGCCAACATCCAGTCACCGTCGTGTTGCGGATGAAGATTTTCGCAGCATTCCCAAGAAGGAAAACAAGAAAATTGAAAATATCCACGGTCCAACTTAACCGGGATTCTATAACCGGTCCGTGTAAAGCACAGCTGGGGCAGATTAATTTTCGTTCTGATTGAAAGCCTTGAGGGAGAAATAGTAAAGAGGCACAACTGTAATGTAAAATTGCGATACAATTGTTCTATCACGGCCGCTTTCCGTCGTGTTATTTATATTTTTTTATCAATCGGTTATACAGGGCGTTTGTTAAAAATGCGCTAAAAAAAGTTACTTCCTTGGATTATTCTGGGGATCTTTTATCCTTTGATGATTATAGAAAAAGCGCTTTGTTGCGAAGATACAGGGCGAAAAGAATAAATCATGCTTAGAATAGACCAAGGAATTACCTTGAAAGAGATTTAGACAAAAATGTAAAAGAGTCGGCTTAACTTGCCACTTCTAGTGCCCGTTGGCAATGCCGTATTTACAGGGACGGCGGGGGGGGGCTAAAAGGGCTATAGTCCAAAGCGGCAACTTTAGGGAGCGGCAAAAAATTAGACCAGAAGGAAAAATCCTGTAATATTAATTTATTAAAAAGTTGAGCAGAGGCGTTCGCCGGTTCCGGGACATCCAGGACGAGAATGGGTTAATACAACGCCTGGACCAAAGATAATACTACACCCACTATCTTTACCTGGACTCACAGGAGGTGTACGTTTACTTATCTATATATTTAAAACTTGTAGAGATAAAATCAATATTTGCAGTGAGTAAAAGTAAATAAATGTAAGGTTAGGGACCAAATAAATCATAACGCAATTTACTTAATTACATTGTATATTCTAAATAAGTTAAAAAGCGATACACTTCTGCATAAATCCAATTATTAGAAATCTGATTACCTTATTTTGGCCTTAACAGCTGCGACAGTGTGATAACTGCGTCTAATCGTTTGGAAAGTACCACCCATGTGTAGTTCTGGGAACAGCACTGAACGTCTCGAACTGAACGCGGCCCAATTCTTCAAACGTTGTCGCGTCCAAAACTAACAAACCAACACGCCGGTCATCTTCTTCGTAAATTAAGGACGATAGAATTACTCCATCGTCTTCGGCCTACAATTGCAGGTATTACTTCCTCTTTACGCTACGCTACACCGTGAATGACCTTTGCGTGCGGTTTGGAAACAAAGATTGGCTCACTGGGATAGGCACCCTGTTCCGACCATACTTGACTAGTTCTATTCTGGATGTCCGTCTTTAGTAACTGAAAATTTAAAAATTTTAGTTTAAGGGAGCAAACTGTTTAGTAACACATACCGATGAGGGAATAGTGGCATCTGTGCACAAGGTGAGGCTATAAAAGAATCTGTACTTCTTACCTGTAAAAGATAATTCATTGAAGCAATTAGGAAGTTATTGCTGAGAGTAGTTCTCGATGGATTATTACCTGCGAAATAGAGGTAGGCTTACAAAAAAATATTGATCTCAAATAGCGTGATATATGACGAAACGATGATTTTTCGATGAATACGTCTTTGTATAATAACAGCGCTACAGCCTAAGGAGTGTCGCCAGAGTTGGTCATACTCTTTTTCCCCTACAGTGACTGTATGAAGACAATGCTCCATGTCGGCCATGTTTTTTCGAATTTATCATTGAACCGAATTAGTAGATTTTGATATGGTTATTCTTGTGTCGAGAAAGTTAAATTAATAACCTTGGTTTCCAGGTTAATTTAACCAAAACATGGCGGATCCCGTGAAAATATCACCACCGTATGACTACACTGTCTCTATGGATTGAGCATTCTATAGAGTCACTATAGTTTCTCCTGCACACTAGCGACACTACACGAACAAAAATCAAGTCTAGTGTTAAAGGGTAAGGGATGTAATACTAACAAAAATGCGTAGTAAAACGAAAAATGAATGTTGGGACAGAAATGGGTGGAATGGGAAATGGTATCTTACAAACCTAAACATTTATTGTAGTTAAAAGTTGGTAATTCGCAATTGTGCCTGCAAATGGATTCAGGTTCAACATGTACACTTCCATCATCCCGTACAAACGCTTTAGCATTAGAGACGGGGATTTTTACAAAGTTTTGGTTATCCCCAAATTTTCCGTCGGTAAATAAAGGCAAAACAAATCTTTGCGGGCTGCTATTAACACTATCTCTAAAATTTGAATCACTTTGGGCATTCTAAAGAATGTTAAGATAAAAAGGGGATTTAAAAGATTACTGTACCTTAAGTGCCTTGATGTAGAATTTATCAATTGATGAACTATCCTTATACGTGCAAATATCGATTACAATATGATTCATATCTTCATACTGATTTATGGTATGAAAGTAAAAGAATCCGTCGGCATAAAATGTTTTTACCAATTGTCCTGTTTTTCGACTTACAACAAGAAACTGTGTCTAAATTGGAAGAATTAGATGAAACAAAAGCAATGTTACATTACCTCGGCTTCCTTGTGCCATTTACACACATCGTGCACTGGTGTTTTCGAGAAAATACTGCTCAACACCTTCTTGGGGATGTTTATAGTAAACGGCTGCTCAATGATTATGAAATAATGTTCCGTTAACCCTAAATTTGCTTACGTTAATCTTTAGAGTGAGACCTACGTTCACTTGCCAAAACTGTGCATGTAAGATGGAAGTAACCTCCATTTCGAAGGAACTGTCGAAACCACCTGCGCTTTTTCAAACATCGCGTCCTGGTCTACAAGGGGTTATTATTAAACATGTTTAATCTTCATGCTCACCATTGTTTTTGTCATTCGGAAAACATACAATGTGATAGGTAGCACCTTTTCTCGAGAACGACAAGCCTAAATTGTAAACAGTCCCTTAAATTGAAGTGTAAGGGTACTATTCGTTACAGGTAGTAGTCATACCATCTTCTACGACATGAGGATGGGAAGTGTGTGTTACAATCGCAAGACGTGCTGTAAGATCCCTTTTTGTTCCGGTTTCCAAGTTACCCTTGTCCACCTTGCAAATTATTCCTGCTTCGGAAAACGCGTATATTTCGTCATTGAATGGATATACAGAGATTGCGGCATTATCTCGGACGTCCTTAGCACAATTGAATATCGATGTTATTCTAAAAAGTTACCTACAGTGACTTGTCGTCAATGCCAATTTACTTCTTTGAATCAAAAAATGTCTATTACAATTGCATCCACTGCCCAGAAAAGTATGGCGCTATGGAAACTTACCTACTAAAAATTGTTTGGCAAGGATCCGGTACAGCTTTTGTTCCAAAGCCAGTTAAAACAAGACGATTAGCTGTCGTACTTCGTTTATATATATCCGATTGTAAAAAACGGCATTGGTACGAAACAGCCCCATCTTTTAATTCAAATCTGAAATAAACGAGTGATATGAAAGTTAGTCATTTTCAGAAATTTAAGGTCGGTGAAGGTAGCACAATATTGCGGTACAGATTTCGATTATTTGGGATGTAATGGTAACCTCTTCAGGGGTTGGAACACAAGTTCATTGCAATGCACCCAACAGAAATGAACATACACGGAAATTCTACGAAAGTGTTTGCCGAATTTAAAGAACTTTTACAGTTTTTTCTTAGCGTTTCCTGTAGGTACGTTTGTACAGGAAAAGAAAAGTTGTACCGCTGCATTTAACGGATTTTTATAGACGCTAAAGTTGTCTAGGACCGTAGGAAAACGTTTGCAGGGTGTATTTTGTCATTTAAATTAAATCAGAATTTCTTACAGGATTAATTACAAGTGGAGGTATTGGTAATTAGTGGAAGCGTTAATGGAATGTGATTTTAACAAAGAAAAGCTGTAGGGAAGCCTTGAAGTTTCAAACCCAAACACCATATATTTGTGGAGTCGACCAGCTCTACTGAATACCCGATATCTAGAAGCGTTTTAAGTTGGGCACTTCCGAGGGCACTTCGTTATGAAAAGTGTCATTGCCGAAAGTGTTTGTGTTGGTTCTAGGAATTGACGATAAAAACTAAATGGCATTGATTGAATTTCTAGAGTTGTGTTCCAACCACCACTACCGTAAATAACGCTTCAATTAATTAGCCGTTTGTAACCGTTCCCGTTAAGATATCGCAATGATCTTTGTTGCGCCCGAAATATTTTGTGATTTAGAAGAGGAGAATGAATTCATATTGATAGATGCCGCACAATTAATTAAAGAAGTTGTAATTTTTGGATGTAGATAACCGAATACACCGGCCGACTTTCCTACGTTCCCTCCCATGGCATATCCGTCACATGTGACGTTTTGTAAGTACCATAATTTTGAATTTGGCGTCAAAAATGCCTATCGATTCAAAGATTAAATCTTGTTCAGTAGAACTGATTCGGGAGGTCGTGCTAGATTTTAAGTAACGGGAGAACAGAGATGAGTTGTTGCCGAGTCACCTTTGGAATTTTTGTTTACATGGGGAATCGTACCGGGCGATCAAAATTAAGTTGTTGTCGAGTCGCCTTTGGAAGTTCAAGATAAGTACTAAGTATGCGATCAAAAATGAGTTGCTGTCGAGTCACCTTTGGAATTTTTGTTTACATGGGAAATTGTACTTATCTTGAACTTCCAAAGGCGACTCGACAGCAACTCATTTTCGATCGCATGGTACTACTAATTGATTTAAGGAGCATTTTTGCGGCACCATGACCCACCACTTAATAGCTGAAGCGTATCTCAATGAAAGGAATAATCGAAAAATATTATCTTCTAAATTGACAGTTATCGTTGAAGACAGTTCAGTTTCTTGATATATAATTGCCTCACCAAACTTAAAACGTGTCGATAAGTTCCTGAACTTATTAAGCAATCTTCGATAACGTTTTATTTTGAGAGCAGTAGATTCTTTTCGCGTGGTAGGTGTAACTGGGGAAACGCTGGAGTGTCAAGTCAGAAAATTTCCATTAATACTACCTATCCCTATTGCTGGTAATACGATTGCCTGGTCTCCTTTAGGATATTTATGGGTGGATGCAACAGAAGCATAAGAATTGCAACTGCTTTATTTTCCTTATTCTTTTCCTTTTGTGTTTGCACAGTACATCGAATTCTAAAGCATCACACAAAAAACAACTCGACATTAGGTTCTCATGTGAACCGTTCCTGATATGATATGCATATTCAAATTGATTTTCTAATTTCCCTACTCGTGTGGGCCTGGAATTTAATTCCTTGTGGTTTTTCGTAGATAATCCGAATTTACTATCTTATACAATATTATGTGAGCATTGCATTGCACAATAATTCGTGTTTGTATAGAAACCTACCTGTGCAATAAGGCCATCCCATCAAACCAATGGTCCACTTCGGAATTACCAAATTCAAATAACCCCATTCCATTGCGAATTAGCACACCGTTTAACCAGTTTGGAATGGTGCCTAAAAGGTAATAATTATTCACGTACTTTCTACCGATCAACAACCTGACACTTCCCCATAGATTGGATCAATGATTTCCCTGCGACAGGATTAGCACACCGTTTAACCAGTTTGGAATGGTGCCTAAAAGGTAATAATTATTCACGTACTTTCTACCGATCAACAACCTGACACTTCCCCATAGATTGGATCAATGATTTCCCTGCGACAGGAACGATACCACGTAGTGTCGTTAAAATTGGGATAAAAATTCGTTGTCATGTTTTTACTTAAACTGATCAATTCAATCACAGAACTGTTTCAGTACCCCTCCTATTCGCATTAAAATTAATATAATGGCGTAACTCTCAAAATGTTGGTATGTATTTATCATTTATTTATCTGCGTGTGCGGTTCCATTCTATGTATTAAATGAACGATGATGATAACAATAAATTATATATTATCACTGTCTGCAGCTTTGGCGAGTTTTTAGCGACATGATGAACTTGATTCGCACATAAAACAACAGTTACATGCACCACAATTAATTAAAAAAATTAACCAAATAAGACAGTCGTGGATAAAATATAGAATTTTACTCGCATGTAATGGCTGTTATTCGCTTTAATGGGTAATCCGAGTGAATAACCGCTATCATTACATGGTCGTCGTTAAATTATCTACCTATAGCTTGATAATGACGTTACCAATTGCTTGAGTGATAATCTGGAGTTGAGGAAAAACTGATGAATCCATAGAAATTGTTGGGGTTCGCTGCTGTTTGATCGAACGAATGAAAATTCTGGTGCGTTGAAGGGTTCAAGATTATGCACGAAGATTTGGGCATGGAAAAAGTGTCTGCTCCATGGATTCCCAGACTCCTTACTCAAGAGCGGAAACTGGTGGAGAAGAGCGCTTTGACGAATGATGGCAATGGCAGTGATTCTTGGAGAATTTTCAGAGCCAACAAAACGTGGACGTTTCACTAAGACCTATAAGATATATCCACCTCAAAAAAGAAGCCAAAAAACCCAGTCTTCGTCTGTAAAATTGATTACGACCATTTTTTGGCGAAGAAAAGGGATCACGCTTAATGAGGAATATGGAAGTAATATCTACTGAACGCCCGAAGAAGGCCAATATGCAAAACGAACGAACTCATAGCGAACAAAAACAGCAAATTTAAGAGTTAGATGTCGCACGCGTGTCAATATATTACCATTTCCCATTCATTACAGATAGTCGGGAATTAAGAAATACAGATTATTTTTT